AGAGCCAATTAATCTCACTTGCAGAATTTATAGCTTGTGCATTGGCGCGCAATAACCGGGATTGCAAGAGAGGAATAGGAGAAAGGAAGGAGGCAGTGCCTACGGCTGCATGGCTGGGCCGCGGCGTGGGAGACGTAGCCTCACTCCACGCTTCGATCCAGTCGTGCACCAATCTGGCCAATGAGATAGAGAAGGGAGAGTGCACGCAGCAACGCGGGAAAGACTATAAAGAAAGGGGAGATTATAGTTACATCTGCGAAGGCAGAGAAAGAGCAAGAAGAGTTTACAGTGGAGATTGGAATTTAGGCGCGGCGGGAACAAAACGCAGGCCCAGGCGCAGCAAAACGCACGCAAGCAGGAAGCGAAGTGCAGTTACAGGTAAAAATTACGAGGCACCCAATTTCCTAGTCTAGTTAAGGTCCTAATTGCAAAAAGAAATTCCGAGATCCAGTGCGGGGTCATCCCCAATTCAAAAATCCTAAGGAATTCCCCGCGCGATTGCCGCGCCAAAAAGACGGACTTCTGTCGAAAACGAAGGAAAAGAAAGAAAAAGGACATAGCAGGGATTGTTCCCCGACGCTCACTAAGGCGCGAGCCAACTTCCCCGAAGTTCCAAACCACCGCCTCTCTTCTGTCGAGGGACCAAGAAGAAAACCAAGAACGAGGGACTGCCATGCAATTTATCCCCGACCCCCTGTATGTACCCCCAAGCCCAGTTACGCAGAAGATGGCGCTTATCAGAAAAGAGCTCGTCACAGTGACACTTCCAAGTACCCTTGAACTCATGGTTGTGGTTTAAGTCAGGCAACGGGCTTGTTTATAGCAGCGAGTCCCTGGTTAGTATGCAGCAGGGCGTTGACCATAAGAGCATGGTCGTCTTTCCATTCATCCTCATGGCCTTTCTGTTCCTTTAGCTGGCGTTCAATCTCTTCTCTTTCAACTTTCAATCTCCTCTTCTCCTCCAGCTCCGCCCTTTTAGCTACTGGATTCCATGGTTCTTTATCAGGAGCCGGTGATACAATTCAATGTTCTCTTTCCTGCATCAGCAGCTCGCTCTCCGTGTTGTCCTCTGCCACCTCCAACTTTGCTGTGAGCTCAGCCCTCTTGGCCTCTGACTCTTTTGCCCACTCATCCTTTCTGAACCCAAACTTCTCCATCCACTTCTGGGTGTCCACTGGGTAGAATTGCTGTTGACTGGACTCTCCGTTTTCGGCCCGCACACCTCCTTCAACCCTATGCCTGGGGTCGTCCAACCTCACCTCCTCTTCTTCTATGACTGGGGTCGTCCAGCCTCACCCTCTTCTTCTTTTTCTTTTTCTTCTTCTTCTTCTACCACTTCAGCTTGCTTGTTCCTGTTTTTCCAGGGTTTTTAGCTTCTCTTCCAAATCCCTTCTCCTTTTCCAATCTCTCTTTCTCCTCCTCCTTCCCCTTCCCCTCGTTTTTTTCCTCTCCTCCTCTGCCATCCTCCTATCAATTTCGGCCTGCTGTTCAGCAGAGTATGGCTGCGTGGATGCTCCGGACCGACTCACAACGTGCATGCTAAAGGTGCGGGCGAATCCCAACGGAAGAGGAAACGGAGGGGGCCCCATATAGTGGATAGGGCCAGGAAGCCAAACATCGGGTAGTCATCCATGGCGAGGGTCAGCACAGGTAACTTGACTCCGCCTCCTCACGACTTACCTACACCTCAACACTTAACAGTCTTCAACACTTATATTAATCTTGACCTAAATCAGGGTGTTTAAACTAATTCCCTTCCCACTTCTGTCACTACAGTTCCCCTAACGTCGGGTGGGCAACCGGCAGCTTAAGGTCAGCCAGCACAGACCTCAGGAATTATTTGACAATGCAAACAGGATGTCGTGGCCACGGACATGTAAGGATCACTCTCAAGACTTAAGACTGGTTCCCCACTGATTGCAGCGGTGTTCGGGTACTACCACCACCATCGACTAGCCAGCTGGTCAGTATCGGTCCTTGGGGGAATCTCCCTGGCGGCCTCAACTGGTGGACCTTACGTCTCACCCCTACTCTGTCCGTGCATTGTACAGCTGGCCAACCCTACTGCCCTCTACAACTCACTGCGTGCCATAGAGTTTTTTGTCGCACGCCGGTCTGTACCGATCATTGGGCATAGCTGGGTTGTTTTATGAGCGCTCGCCGCTCATTGCCTGTGCTCCCTACTAGGTCTGGGGAGACATCCAGCTGCCGAGTTGCTACCCTAGACCGACCTACATCGCACACGAAACTTTCACTCTCACGGGATTAGGGTCCCACTCGGCACCTATGCCTACATCGCACATGAAACTTTCACTCTCACGGGATTAGGGTCACACTTGGCACCTATGCCCCCAGGCAGGCCGGCAACCCTAACCACTTCCCCCACAACGGGGAGGAGCCTTTCCTCTAGGAGAGATTGGTCTCTGACTCACCAAGCAATAGGCAGACCAAGTGCGACTGCTGGCTCAAATGACAAGATGACATCAACAAAAATCTATTTGCAGCAGAGGTCACCAGGAAAGTACGGTGGAATGTACCATTCACAACGAAATTCAAATTGCATAAATGACAGGGCCAGGGCAAAGAAGCACCTCACTCCTTGAGCGTTCCCTCGATGAAGCTCGTCGATCACAGGTACGTGCTCCCCTTGCTCCTTGCCATGCCCCTTCTTCTTCAGCCCTCAACATGCAGTCAACCCTAACCCTTTTTTTTTTTTTTTGCCCGCTGCCTCCTTTCGTGCCAGCGTCTCAACTCTGAGCGGATGCAGCGGGAACCAGCTCCGATACCACTGAAATGAGCGAAGTATTTGTCAAGTTCCACCTCGCATACATCAATGAACACTCACATGAGAGATCACATGTGAGAAGCCCAATTGAGATACAATCAACTCTTGAAGATGTAGTCTCCAATATTATGATCAGTATGCAAGAATGTCCAGCCGCTCTGCCGCATACACATGCACAACGGATCTCAACCAGACAGCGGCTATGGCTTCTTTCCTCTTCTCTCTCTCTCTTAGTTTTGCTTTTCTCTCTGACTTGCCTTGCTGTGCCTCACTCTCTCTTTTCTTTTTCTCTCTACCCTGCATCGATACCCTGGATGCACCCACTCAGGTAGCTTACACCTTGGCGGCTATGGCCGCCATCCTCCTGCTCCACCGCTGACCTAGTTATGGAGCATCTCTCAAGCGCCCTCATCTTCTTCAGGTGCACTGTGCCCAAGTTGCCTTAACGCGCAAGCAGAAGCAGCGCTTCTGCATCTTGGAACTGAACGAGTGATGAGCCGCTGCACTGTAGCACATGGTTGCATCCCTGCCGACCGCCGACCATATTGCAGCCGACCAGTAGCGGTCTGCTGACCAGTCAGAAATCAACCATCTACTAATTTGTTTTCAGATCTGAGTTGGAAGCTGTACTGAGCTTGCCGAGTACAGCCCAAATCCGAGTACAGCCCAAATCCGATGAGAAATTTTTGGGGATGGGGGGGTTGGGGGAGGGGAGTATAGGGGGATATAGGGGGGTATAGGGGTGGTATAGGGGGTATTGGGATGGGGTATGAGGGTGTTGGGGGGCGGTTTGTGGGTGTTGGGGGGGTGTATGGAGGTATTTGGGGTGGGTATGGGGGTCCTCGTGGGGTTATTAGGGGTTCTGGGCGGGGTGCTGATGATCCCCAACCGGTAGGTGCCGATCAGCCGACCGGTCGGCGGGTCGGCAGCCGACCAGTCAAGGGTCGCTGACGGTCGGGGTGTGCAACACTGCTGTAGCAGCTAAATATAGGACTTGGCTTCGCTGGGCTTGGCCTGGCTTGGCCTGCTTCAGACTGGTACCAGTTGGCCGCGGCCTGTCTGCTGCAAACATTTTGTCGGTCCGGTAGCTTCTGGACTTTCCTCGGACATGCTGCAAAATTGGACTTGGGACTGTCGGACTGGACTGGACGCTTCTGGACAGACTCCCACCAACCTATGACGCTTCAGTACCCACACCTACCGACCTACGATGCTTCGGTCTCTTCACCCTACGGCCTACCCTATGGGACGGCCCTGGTACTTCGGACTGGTTGGGACCTTGGGACCGGGACTGGGTGTCTGCAGTTTGAAAGTAAAATTAATAAAAAAATATCGTAGTAGGGGTTGGATGCGAGGCCTCAGGAGATGGTTGTCGTTGTACTCAACCATTTGGGAGATCAGATGGTTGGTGAAAAGACCCTATTTT